CCGGAAATTTTTTTTCCCCGGGACCCTTCAGCTGGGGGAGAACCCCCGCCCATCCCTTAAATTTAAAAAGGGGGGACCCGGGCCGGGGGAAACCCCGGGGGCTTCCTCCCCGCTTTTTAGGGGTGGGGGGGCAAAGGTTTTAAGGATTCCCCCTCCCCGGATTAGGGGTCCCCCCCCCCCCCCCCCCCCGCGCGCCCTCAGGACACGTTCTACATCGAGCACGAGGAGGGGGAGGAGCCCCTGCTCCTGCGCACTCACACGTCCTCGGTGCAGATCCGGGCCCTGGAGAGGCTGAAGCCGCCGCTCGCCATCGTGGCGCCCGGCCGGGTGTACCGCCGAGACACGCCGGACGCCACCCACAACCCCGAGTTTCATCAGGTGTGTGTGTGTGTGTGTGTTTGTTTGTTGCCGTTATTGTTATTCTCGTTGGTGTCTTAGTAATCTTTAATATCAGTTCGGCCTGTCTATGCATCCAGCTTCATTGTTGTTGCTGTTGTTGCTGTTTTGTTTGTCGTGGTTGTTTTCGGTATACTGATGATTGTCGTCATTATTTTCATGAGTTCGAAGTCTCTCTATGTATTCAGTACCACCTCGTGTTCTCTGCCCTTCAAAGACGAGAAATAATCTAGGTGCTTCTCGCGGATAACATAATATCCATAGAGGTGCACACACGAAAAAATAATAATCAATGGGCACAAGGGTATCCCTCCACTGACGAGGAAGTGAAGCTCATAGGTGGAAGGGCCTGCACCATTTTTCTTTATTTTCATAACGTGTGCCTTGATTCCACAAGGTATCACCCCCCGCCACCCCAGTTGTGGCGCCCCCTATCGCCGCGCGGTCTCCGCATGTACCAGCCACCATACAAGGCGTACATGAATACACGTGGACGGTTTCGGACGGAATACGCCCCTAGAACTAAAAACGCTCTCCGTGCTGTAGAACATGCCGCGATTTTACTGAGTATACACAACGTGGCAGTGGTGTTTTTTCAGGCCAACATGAGCCCGATACGACTACTCTCAGATCAAGCAAGAGGGCGACACAACATATCCCACACGCTACACAACAACATGCCTGGTCTTATATTTTTTGAATTCAACAAGTTGATATGATCATCGGGGGTGTTTTTCGTGCCGTATATGGTAATCGGCGTGTACAGCGTTTGTTTTTTTTGGGGAATATTACACATGCACAAAGAGCAATACAACCCCCCGTGTTGTACGCGTACATAGAGCCCGACCGAACAACAGTACTTTGGCGCCAATTTTTTTTTGCAGCACATTCGTGGCGGCAGCCGGCCCCTATCCATGCACGCTCTGGGAGGAGTATGGAGCTAAAACGTGCTTCGAAAGGGTCACTGATTCGTGGCAATACCCACTCTGTCTTTTAGAAAGGCATTTTTTTTCCAGGTCTGTATCCAAAGACCCTATGGTGTAGTCGGTAACACTGCAGACTCTGAATCTGCCACCCTGAGTTCGAATCTCAGTAGGGTCACATTTTTTTTCCGCGCATAGACACGTGTTACTTTTTGTACTGATGCTTTCTTTGCCTGTGATACGCGTTAGAATGCTGTTGCCTTGATTATTCGAGCGAAGCGAGATTTCTAATCTGGCCTGAGGTCTCGCCGCAATATAGGCCCCTTCAAGACCAAACCGTTTGTCGCGTCTGTTCGCTTAATATAGGTTTTAGAGTACTTGACAATGACTTGATTTTAGACTACAGGGGTCAGCACACGCACTTTTTTTTTCGGAGCACACAGCGGATTGCAGCAGAGAACACACGCGCTACGGGCGACACCACACAGCAGACAACACACGCACAGTAGACAGCGTACGCAAAACAGGCGACACACACGCACAGCGGGCGACAGCGACAGCATCTGGGCTCGATGCCGCTGGACTCTCTGTGGTGTGATGAGGCTGTGTATTGCTGTCGCGGATGTTTTTTTTTTACCGCCGCGTTCAACTGAAAGCAATGTGAGCACAGCACCACTTAGTTGTCGAAACCTAGGACGCCGATCGCCATCGCACCACTTCAAGCGTGTGCTCCATTGTGGTGTCTCTGGGCGTGATAATTGTTTTGGGCATGGGTGCTGTATGTGGCGAGAGCATCGTGGCGATGTGAAATCCGGTTTGACTTTTTCGCCTGGCGATGTGGCCCGATTGCCCGGGCAAAAAAAAACGATTTGGATTCCACGCCGCCACGAAGGTCTTCCCACACACAGCACCCATGCCTATCACAACTGTCACGTCCCGAGATATCGTAATGGAGCACACGCTCGAAGTGGTGCCATGACGATTGGTGCGCTAGGTGACGAGAACTGACTCGTGTCCTGCTGTTTCGCTGGCAGTTGGAAAAACACCGAACAAAAAAAGAGGGAGCAGGCGGTTCAGCAATAGTATGCGGGGGGTATGTATGACCACGAAAGCGGGATGTGGACGGGGGGGGGGGTAACCGGCATGTGAAAGTTAGCGTGACCACAGCTCTCTCACCAGCGCACAGCAGGTAGGTGTAGTATCAAGTGTGTGGTGTTTGCGCCCTGTTTCCGCCGTGGACGCACACGTCTGACGACAGTTACATCTATCAGGTGTTCGCTCGTTGCAGCGACAGCTAGTATATCTTCAATATGGTACCTTGTACTATTTTTTTTTGTGCAAAGTAGTTGTTTTTCGAGGACCCGCCGATCAGTAATGTCGTTGAGGTGGGATTTGTTTTTTTGGCTAAAAAAAATGTTTAGAAGAAACCACACCCTGGGAAATTCTGGTACTCGCAGAAATTTAAATCACTGCGGGGGCGTGCGGACCCTGTCCGTGAATGATGCGTTTGTTCGTGCTGGATCTTTCAGCAGCAGACTCGAGCCCATCTCACACCAAATTACCAGCCAATCCTTGTGCATGAGACATTCGAGTAGAGGAACATCGTGCTCAGTTCGTTGAGGTAGCGCATGTCTGCTTTGTGTGCTTTGTTGTCGGCATCCATACCCGCCGAAGTGCATAGAGAAAGGCGATTTTTTTTTAAACGAGCGTTGTAATATTGAGAGGGAGGGGAGGGATGTGTAGGAGGAGGAAGAAAGGTGGGAGAGGGAGACTAGTGTGACCTCGATACTACTGCTGTCAGCTGACTGTGGGAGTGACAAGAAAATGGAGAGCGTGGACATGCGCACCCTCGTGTGTTGCTGTTGTGTGCTTACAGCAGTAGTTTCGCAGACACCAAAGTTCCTAGACGGATGTCGCATGCTATCGATGGTAACGAGTCGAGCATCTCTTCCCGTCCCCCGCCCCCCCTCCCAGATCGAGATTCTCAACGTCCGAAAGTCGGGGGAGCTGCACCTGGGCCACCTCAAGGGTACGGTGGACCATTTCCTCAAGAAGATGTTCGGGCCGGACGTGAAGACGAGGTACCGGGGGAGCTACTTCCCCTTCACGGAGCCCAGCATGGAGGTGGACATCTGGTTCAAGGGGAAGTGAGTGTCGTTGGTACTTTGGGATAGCATGCCTCTCATTTTTGTTTACGTTTCCTGTTCCCCGCCCCAAGATTGGAAATGAAGGAAGAAGCAAAAGTGGGTGGAGATACTGATGCGGAATGGTAGAGGAACCCCGTCGTCGGCAGCAGGCTCAACGGAAAAACAACCAGTTTCGCATCCCCCCCCCGCCACCGCCCCTTGCAAATCAACAGGTGGATGGAGGTGTTAGGGTGCGGCATGGTGGACCCTCGCGTGCTTGAGATGGCCGGAGTTGACCCCGAGGAGTACTCGGGCTTCGCGGCCGGGTTCGGGGTGGAGCGTTTCGCCATGGTCTTGTTCGGGGTGCAGGACCTTCGCAACTTCTGGAGTAGCGACATGAGGTTCCTGGAGCAGTTCCCAGCGGACATTCAGGCAAGCGGCACATACATCTGAAGCCCCCCTCGCCCCCCTCGCTCGTCGGATGGTTGCGTGCTTGATTGTCCAAGCAGACTCTATGTAGTGGCGGGGAACTCCGGGACCCTTTGTGACTCAAATGAAACGCGCACCAAAACCTCGCCTCCACAGTCCCTCGCCCCCATCGCATCCCTCCTGGCTCGTTGGATGGTTGCGTGCTTGGTCGTTGAATCGCACGCTAGTCTCGGGGTAGTCCGGGATCCTTTGCGACACACACGAAACGCACGCCAACCCCCCGCCTCCCCTATCCAACCTGTCGCGTATTTTGACCATCGCAGGACATGAAGGATGCCGTCAAATCCGGCAGTTTAGGTGACCCAGTTGCCTGAATATGGCGTGGCGCGCACATTGCTGCTAGTATTGATCTTTGAATGCGGTTCGGAGGCGATGGTTGGATCGAAAACCTTCAATACCATGGGGGGGGGGGTGAAATGCTCTTCTTGTGTGTTTTGGCCTGAGGTCACAAGGGGGCCACGCAGACGCATTTTTCGCAAAGTAGTGCGTCCCGCGTTGTAACGTCAGGGGCTTCATGAGGGCTTGGGTCGAGCTAGCGTGCACTCTTTCGTGATCATGACCGTTGTTGTTTGTGTCCTCTCGTTCGCTGACATAACTTGTTTTTTAAAGTCGCATTGTGCCACGAGTGGTGGGAAATTCTGTCCAAAATGCCCTATGTATCTACCTGTGGTCGTCGCTGGGCTTGCGAGGTCGCAGGACACGGTTCTTCGGCGAACTCTTTCTTTGCCGCTCCACGGACGACCAACACAGCATGCATGCAAGGACATTATTTCCGGCAATGTGCATTCGTTGTCGTTGTGTTGCTGCCCTTTCCAGTGCTCACGTAAAACCAAATGTGCCCAGCCGTACCTCTATTTTCTTTGTGTGTGTGTCTGCGGAGTGCCCCAACATGCAGAAGTAAACCATGGGACGTTCGGACTCCGGATCAGAATATATATATGTTGTGCCACAGAGGGTACAACTGTTGAGATTTTTTTCTCCGCCAATGCCCAGGCTTGGACGTCACCGCGTGCCTTACAACGACATCTATCTATGCATATTCCTTTGTGTCGTCTTCCGACACAGAGATGATGCGGCTTGCCCTCCCATTGCTACTCCCCGAGGACGGACTGGCATCATCTGAAAAGAGGAAATACACCCTGCCCTTCGAACACCGTCCAATCGCCGCGGTACCGTTGGTATTGTTGTTGTTGTCGTTGTTGTTGTCTTCACATTAAAAACCGTTCCGGTTTCCGCTCAGGACCTTCTAATGTCCGTACTATACTATACTATACTATAACAGTACAACTGACACGGACGCCTAACGTGGTCACAAGCCGACTGCCCCCATAGGGGGGTAAGCAAAAAATATGACGTAAACATAACAAGACGAGTCTACTCTGCTTTAGCAGCGAATTGTAATTTACCGTCCCACGAACGATGCTTTTTAATGTCAAAGACGCAGT